AGTTTTATTTCTCCTTTAATTTGAGGTAACATTAAACTTTTTTTTTGTATTTTGAAGATATTTTCCCTATTAATGACTTTCTAAATATGATTACTTTTTACCATTACTTTTCATTTGGAATTCATAGAATGAACACCAACTACACAATAGACTTCTTTTTATTAGGCTTATGATTATGGAATCTCCTAAACTAGGCCTGTTAAAAATACTTTTGCATTGTGACAAAGGGCACATAAAGGATGGCTTTTACTTATAAATGTGACACGTTGAGTGTTTCCTGGTCCTCCTGAACGCAAAGAGGGTGATTTTGTGTCTCCCTAGCAACATGGACAATGTGTGCAGGAAGGAAATGGATTGTTTAAATGTCTTGTGGAATTAATTTTCCAGAACTCTAGGAAAATTTAAAAGTTCAAAAGTGAACTTCTCTTGGGAGTGAGTTAAGAGAATTTGAAAGCAAAAGAAGGGGAAACAAGTCTCATGACATGATTAAGTTTCACATGTTAATCTGGGAGTATCCAAGCCAAGTAACAAACCACAGTGGTAGTGACTTTTGTGTTTTTGGATTCCTTGAGTAAACTGGGAAAAGTCACTTATCTCTGTGATGTGTTACAGGAGAGATCACAGATTTGAACTTATTATAGAGGTTTCACTGTTTATATTCTATTAATCAATTAACTGCATATCCGTATGGTTTTCTGCCAGTATTGCTTACACCTATTACCAAATGCCCTCCTGCTAGAACGTTTGCATTGTTGGGTAAGGGAATAAGGATTAATACAATGAATTAAAGAGTAAGACAACTTCTGTTGGCCTGAACATGGTGATCAAGTCAATCCACAGTTACAGGCTCTCTCTGAGAGATGTAAAGCTTATTCCTTAATAGGCTGTTCTGTCTGGAGAGATCCATTACATTTATTTTATTGCCTTAGCCCTACACTAAAGTAAATTGCCTTGGGTTTCCTAACTAACTTAATGCATAAGGTGGTTTGTTTGCTGCTAAATCACCAAAAGGATTAAGTGAAAAACTGTGATGAGGATGAGGATAAATGCATTATAGTTTCCAAAATGTGTAGTATAATCATGGGCATGTTGGAGATCTTTTTAGATTTGTGTTTCTGTCTCAGTGACTTAATTTCCTTTAGAGCAGATGGCTGTTAAATAGTTTGATTTATTGTGTTCATGATAAATATAATATAGAAAGCGACATTGAAAGCTTTAGTATGGTTTTATTCCTCTGTTAAATTGAATGTCATTATGAATTTTAGGTAGCCCTGGTTTACCCCAACAATGATCCAGTCATGTTTATGGTGGCTTTTTATGGATGCCTCCTGGCAGAAGTGATTCCAGTGCCTATAGAGGTACCTCTTACCAGAAAGGTAACATTGCTAAATTTAAGAAGAATATAGCCTGGTGTGACATGGCAGGCATTGGGTTCTTGGATAGATGCAGTCACAACTTTTAAAACTGTCAGACCATTTTCGGAAGTACTCAGCTTCACTTTCGAAAAACATGAAATTTATAGAAAAATTATTTATTAAATATTTACAAATGTCATGCAAATAACATATTTTCAACTTAAGATAGAATTTGTATAGTATTGTATATTATTTAAAATATTACAGGGGCAAGTGGACACGATGGCTTAGGCCTGTAATCCTAGCACTTCGGAAGGTTGAGGTGGCTGGGCCCAGGAGTTTGAAAGCACCCTGGGAAACATGGGGAGGCCCCATCTCTACAAATAGTAAAAAACTAGCCAGCCATGGTGGCATGCACCTATAGTCCCTGATATTTGCGAAGCCAAGGTGGGAGGATTGATTGAGCCCAGGAGGTTGAGGCTGTAGTGTGACATGTGATCATGCCCCACTGCACTCCAGCCTGGGCAACAGAGCAAGCAAGACTCTGTTTCAGAATATAAAATAAAATATCATGGGGGCATACTTGACTTTCAACAATGATCATTTATAAAGAATACCAATCTTGCTTCAGAGACTGTAGATAATCCACATTTACAATAGTTGAGACCTTTTTTAAAGGGATTTCCTCTAACTGTATCATATGACCTAGGATTTCCATTAGGTGGAAGGTGTTGGAGTGATGGCATATTACTTCTCTAGATTATAAGATTTTACTTTGACAATACATCAGCCCGACTAAAATGAAGCATATGTAACAGATTTCCATGTTTGACCGAGTGATTTCTCCATGAGTCATTTGATGCTAATTTGTCATGCCATTTATTATTTGACTTTGGCTGATGTCAAAGATGAGGATGTGGATTTGTAAGAAATCTGCCAGGCGCGGTGGCTCATGCCTGTAATCCCAGCACTTTGGGAGGCCGAGGTGGGTGGATCACCTGAGGTCAGGAGTTCAAGACCAGCCTGACCAACATGGTGAAACCCCATCTCTACTAAAAATACAAAAATTAGCCAGGTGTGGTGGCATAAGCCTGTGATCCCAGCTACTCAGGAGGCTGAGGCGGGAGAATTGTTTGAACCCAGGAGGCAGAGGTTGCAGTGAGCCGAGATGATGGCACTGCACTCCAGCCTGGGAGACAAAGCGAGATCTTGTCTCAAAAAAAAAAAAAAAAGAAGAAATTGACTGGGCCATGGTGGCTTTTGCTTGTAATCCTAGCACTTTGGGAGGCCGAGGCAGGTGGATCACTTGAGGTCAGAAGTTCAAGACCAGCCTGGCCAAGATGATGAACCACCCTTCTCTACTAAAAGTACAAAAATTAGCTGGGCATGGTGGTGTACTCCTGTAGTCCCAGCTACTTAGAGGCTGAAGCAGGAGAATAGCTTGACCCCAGGAGGTAGAAGTTACAGCGAGCCAAGATTGTGCCACTATACTCCAGCTTAGGCCACAGAGAGAGACTCCATCTCAAAAAGAAAAGAAAAGAAAAAGCATTTCTGAAAGGAATAAAAAACAAAATGATAACATCCCCGAAACTCTAGTTGTTGGGATGTAATATTGTTCATTTGATCAGGAAATTATATGGTTGTTCTTAAATTATTATGTTGGCAGAAGTTGTGTGGTTTCATAATGATACTTGTAAGATGACATTTTAACGGAAATGTTTTAGACTGTATCTTTTGCTGTTTTTGCTGCTATTGTTGTAAGGCTTAAATCTACCCCCTTTAAAACAGAAAAATAAAAGGAGTATACAGATTTGGTATATTCATCCATTGACTTTCATTTTCATCTTAGACATTTAGTATCCATTTACATTATTTTGTTCAGACCTGACTTGCTTTTCTCTTGAATTTTGGGGGTGAGGTAGGGGAAGATAACCATGTTGGCATTTATTTAATTTGCTTGAAACTAATCTAAAAGAGGATCATTACTGACTCTTGCAAAAATGGTTACATTTAGCTGGTAGGATTTATCATTAGTAATGTCTGGTTAATAAAATACTTGATTTGTGCTCAGGAAATGTTCGTATTGTAGAAATTATTTGGAAGAACACATTGCCATTGGATTTTGACAATTACCAGATATTGGGGGGGGGGCTCCATGAACGTTATCACACAAAGTGCCAGAGCATTCCTAAGTGTCAAATATGGGCACGGGTGTGCTCACATTCGCACCCCTGCCATGTTCATTATCATTTCTCCGCAGGATGCTGGAGGGCAGCAGATTGGCTTCTTGCTAGGAAGCTGTGGTATTGCCTTAGCTCTTACCAGTGAAGTTTGTCTAAAAGGACTGCCAAAAACCCAGAATGGAGAAATTGTACAGTTTAAAGGTTAGTAATATGGTACCTGAATTATCAGTTAAAAGTTTAAACTGAATGTTTTAATTAGCTTTTTAATTTAGTAATAGCTAGGTACTTTACATATATGTTCTATTTTATTCTCATATTCTTATGAAGTAGGTACCATTATTATTCCCATTTTACTGGTGAGGAAACTGAGAAATAGACAGGTTACGTAATTTGCCCAAAGTCACAGCTAATAAATGGCATAGCAGCAATTTGAACCCAAATCTGTCTGATTCCACAGCCCACACCCTTAACCTTTATGCTGATGGTTGGAAAAAGCTACCACTCTGTACATTAAAGCTAAATGCTACATGTAGAGACAGAGGATAGACCACTAACCTCAGTAGACTTCCACTGCCAAATGGACCTCCCAGTTGTTGAGGTAACGTCAAGGCCTGGAATTAGCATGTGGAACGATTGTACTTTTGAAAGAAGGTATAATTGTCTGGTGATTTATTGCTAAAAACTAATAAAAACTAAGTATCTTATTGATTATAAAATGATCTTAATTTGGTCTCTTGATATTTAAATTTTATGACCAGTTCAATGTGAATTCCTTTCCTGATGGCTTAGGCAATTCAGTTTTCACTTTGGGTTTGATTTAGGTTGGCCCCGGCTCAAATGGGTTGTAACAGATTCCAAGTACCTTTCAAAGCCACCAAAAGACTGGCAGCCACACATCTCACCTGCTGGGACAGAACCGGCTTACATTGAGGTAAGTCTTAAGATGTAAAATAATACACTTTCAGGCTTTTCCTTTGGCTTCACTTGCCACCTTTCAAAATATAAACTAAATTTTTGCAAGGTTAATATTAGAAGATCCTCCTGCTCTGTGAGATTTCCATCTTTTGGCTTGTAAAATACCTTGTAGTAGATCTTCTGTTCTAATTATTCTGATCATAAATACACACTCAAGAGAATGACAGCAAAAAAATTGATTCTTTATGCAAGGAAGTTACAAAAGACTTTAGGGGAGTACAAACATTTAAGAAATAATGTAGCCGGGCGCGGTGGCTCAAGCCTGTAATCCCAGCACTTTGGGAGGCCGAGGCGGGTGGATCACGAGGTCAAGAGATCGAGGCCATCCTGGTCAACATGGTGAAACCCCGTCTCTACTAAAAATACAAAAATTATCTGGGCATGATGGCATGCACCTGTAATCCCAGTTACTCAGGAGGCTGTGGCAGGAGAATCACTTGAACTTGGGAGGCGGAAGTTAAACTGAGCCGAGATTGCACCACTGCCCTCCAGGGAAATGTCTCTGCTGCTTATTTAGAGAGATTGGGGGCAAGAGAATGGAAAAATGAGGAGGGAAAATAACTCTGCTTAAAAGAACAAATTGATAGATGAACAACAAAGAGCAAAAAGAAACAAATGGCTTTGATATTGAGGAAGGTTTGATACTGAGGTTGGCGTAGGAATGCAATTGGCAGTATGATCTCATTGAGGGATTAAGCAAATCCAAGTCCATACCAGGCACCAGGCTGAATGCTTTAAGGTGCATTTTCTCATTTAGTCCTTACAAGTACCCTGTGAGGTTTGGATTATTATTAAACTTGCTTTATAGATGAGGAGACTAAGACTTAAGAGAACTTCAGTAGATAACCAGAGGCCCCATGACTCAAAAATGGCAGTGCTAGACTTAATCAGGTCTGACTCTAAAAGTTGTAGCCTTCACCACTCTGTATCATGCGTGAGACATATGCTCACCCATTGTTTGTTAAATTAATGAACAGGCACATCAATAAAAAATTTTTTTAAGATTTGGGGGAACCTTTTCACAAGATGGCGCCGAAAGCGAAGAAGGAAGCTCCTGCCCCCGCTCAAACCGAAGCCAAAGCGAAGGCTTTAAAGGCCAAGAAGGCAGTGTTGAAAGGTGTCCACAGCCACAAAAAAAAGACGATCCGCATGTCACCCACCTTCCGGCGGCCCAAGACACTGCAACTCCGGAGGCAACCCAAATATCCTCAGAAGAGCGCCCCCAGGAGAAACAAACTGGACCACCATGCTATCATCAAGTTTCCGCTGACCACTGAGTCTGCCCTGAGGAAGATAGAAGACAACAACAGGCCGGGCGCGGTGGCTCAAGCCTGTAATCCCAGCACTTTGGGAGGCTGAGGCGGGTGGATCACAAGGTCGAGAGATCGAGACCAACCTGGTCAACATGGTGAAACCCCGTCTCTACTAAAAATACAAAAAATTAGCTGGGCATGGTGGCGCGTGCCTATAATCCCAGCTACTCAGGAGGCTGAGGTAGGAGAATTGCCTGAGCCCAGGAGGCGGAGGTTGCGGTGAGCCGAGATCGCGCCATTGCACTCCAGCCTGGGTAACAAGAGCGAAACTCCGTCTCAAAAAAAAAAAAAAAAGATAAGATAGAAGACAACAACACACTTGTGTTCGTTGTGGATGTTAAAGCCAACAAGCACCAGATCAAACAGGCTGTGAAGAAGCTCTATGACATTGATGTGGCCAAGGTCAACACCCTGATTCGGCCTGATGGAGAGAAGAAGGCATATGTTCGGCTGGCTCCTGATTACGATGCTTTGGATGTTGCCAACAAAATTGGGATTATCTAAATGGAGTCCAGCTGGCTAATTCTAAATATATGTACATCTTTTCACCATTAAAAAAAAAAAAAAAAAAGATTTGGGGGAAAATCATTGAACCTTGGATACTGATAATAACAAGTAGAGAGAACTTCAAATAACTGGCTGTAGAAAAGAGAGGCTGGGAGAATGAGTTCATGTCCTTTGCAGGGACATGGATGAAGCTGGAAGCCATCATTCTCAGCAAATTAACACAGGAACAGAAAACCAAACATCACACGTTCTCACTCATAAGTGGGAGTTGAACAGTGAGAACACATGGACACAGGAAGGGGAACATCACATACTGGAGCCTCTTGCGGGGGTGGAGCAAAGGGAAGGGAGAGCATTAGGACAGACACCTAATGCATGTGGGCTCAAAACCTAGATGACAAGTTGATAGATGCAGCAAACCACCATGGCACAGGTATACCTGTTTAACAAACCTGCATGTCCTGCACATGTACCCCAGAACTTAAAGTAATAATTTTTTAAAAATTAAATTAAAAAAGAGAGATTAGGGTGGGGCACAGTGGTTCACGTCTATAATCCTGGCACTTTACGATGCTGAAGTCAGGAGTATGAGACCAGCCTGGCCAACATAGTGAAACCCTGTCTCTTCTAAAAATACAAAAAATTAGCCAAGGATGATGGTGCACATCTGTAGTCTCAGCTATTGGGGAGGCTGAGGTGGGAGGATCACTTGAACCCAGGATGCAGAGGTTACAGTGTGCCAAGATCACGCCACCACACTAGAGAGGCTGGATACAATGGCTCACATCTGTCTGTAATCCCAGGACTTTAAGAGGCCAAGACAGGAGGACTGCAAAAAAAAGGAAGAGAGTGAGCAATAGTGCTGATAGGTGATGGGTTATTATTGGATGCAAGGATGATTGTTTTTAAAGATGGAAGAGATCTGAGTATGTTTAAAAGACAAACAGATAAGCCAACAAGATGGCTTATGCCTTTAATCCCAGTACTTCTTGGTGACAACCCGTATTAGAGGAAAAAAATAAAAAAATAAAAAAAAATTAAAAAAAAAAGAAGTAAAAGAAAATTCCAGTACTTCGGGTGGCTGAGGTGGGTGGATTCCTTGAGCTCAGGAGTTCAAGACTAACCTGGGCAGCGTAGTAAGACCCTGTCTCTACAAAACATAAAAAATTAGCTGGGACTGGTGGTATGCACCTGTAATGCCAGCTACTCAGGAGTCTAAGGTGGGAGGATCACTTGAGCCCAGAAAGTTGAGGCAACAGTGAACTGTGTTGATGCCAGTGTACCCCATCCTGAATGACAGAGCATGATTCTGTCTCAAAAAAGAAAAAAGACAAGCAATTAAAAATACCAAAGTTAGTCATCAACTCACAATCCATATCATGTCTCAGTGATGACATCATTCATTACTCAGTCCTCCTTAAAACTCCAGTCACTGACTTCTTGGACTCCTCTTTCAATTCTGCTACCTCATTGGCGATATCTTTCAGTCGTCTTTGTTGGTTCTTCCTAAAGGTGGAGAGTCCTTCATTGTGTGGCCCTCGCTTAGCTCTCTGGCCTTATTAGAACTACTACCCTCTGTCTTTCTAGGTGCCTGTTATTTTGAATTAACTTGCAGTTCTTAGTTGTGATTCTCCTATTACCCACAGGACTCTACTAGTAAGTTTAAAGTATCTCCAGGTAATAGGGAGTTATTAAAGGAGACCAACTTTACAGTTATTTAGGTGAGTCCAAGCTTATGGTAGAGAGGAGAGAACAAAGTAGATATAGCTTCAGACAGCAAGGAAATAGAGCAGGCAAGGCTTAGGTACTGATGCTGGAGAGGGAGAAGGCAAGACAGACTCAAGTTTCTCACTTGGGCAACTGGGATTCATGGCAGCATCCTTCCCTAAGATAGAAAATACAACAGGAGTAGTTTACATGGGCAGAGGCGGGGGTAAAGAAGACGGTGATGGATATATTGGGTTTCACAGGATTACTGGACATTCAGGGGAATAGTTGACTCTGTCAGTCTGGATTTCTCTGGAGCAGAGGCCTGGGTTGAAGATAGAGAACTAGGAGTTATTAAGAATGCAGTAACCTGTGGCCAGGCGCGGTGGCTCAAGCCTGTAATCCCAGCACTTTGGGAGGCCGAGGCGGGTGGATCACGAGGTCGAGAGATCAAGACCATCCTGGTCAACATGGTGAAACCCCGTCTCTACTAAAAATACAAAAAATTAGCTGGGCATGGTGGCACGTGCCTGTAATCCGAGCAACTCAGGAGGCTGAGGCAGAAGAATTGCCTGAACCCGGGAGGTGGAGGTTGCAGTGAGACGAGATCGCGCCATTGCACTCCAGCCTGGGTAACAAGAGCAAAACTCCGTCTCAAAAAAAAAAAAAAAAAAAAAAAAAAAAAGAATGCAGTAACCTAGTGGAATAAAGTGAAAAGGGATGAGGAAAGAGAGTAGAACTCTTAGGGAATGGCACATTGAAGAGGTGGGTGGAGAAAGTAAAGGAGCAATGGGAGAGAGACAGAGACAAACACACAGAGATAGAGACTAGAAGAGAGGAGTATCGGAAGTATCAGAAAAGCCAAGGAAGGAGAAAATGTCAAGAAAGAGAGGAGTCAAATTTTGCAAAAAGGTATGCAAAATGTCCTTTTGCTTTAACCATCAAAAAATTTGGGCTAGTCCCATGGTAGTGTATTATCTCAGTTGATTGTTCACAGTCAGTTACAGATAAAAGGGGAGAAAGAGCAGAATAGGAGTTTTCACTATTGCCCTTAGCAAGACTTAAAATTTTTTTAAAGTTGCGCTGGGCACAGTGGCATATGCCTGCAGTTCCAGCTACTCAGAGGCTGAGTTGGGAGGATTGCTTGAGCCCAGAAGTTCCAGTCCAGCCTGGGCAACATGGTGAGACTCCCATCTCTTAAAAGAAAGAAGGAAAGGGAAGTTGATAGTCCTGGTAAATAGCAACCTGAATGTAACATTCAGGGTAAAAGCAAAATTATAGTTGAATGATTTGGAGGAGCAAATAGGCCATTCTTTTCTAGTTCTTCCTTACAAAATTGGGTGCTTCTAATGCACAAAGACCATGTCTTACATACCCTTCATTCTGCAGTGCTGTGCTTGACTTATATTTATTTGGTAGTGTGCTTCTATTAATATAGCTCCAATCACTTGTTTTAGCTTTCTGATCAGCCACTTCACATCGATGACTAATTAAACTTCTAAGTCTTTTTCATACATACTTTTGTTGAGCTCTGTCATTCTCCAATCCTATCTTTGTGTGATTTGCATTTAGGACTTAAGTACATTTGCCTTAAATATTCATATTAAACATGTTAAATTCAACCCATTATGACAGTTTTTCTGGGTTTCTTTTTTGGATTCTAGTTTTGTCATTTGAAATAATCCATTTTATTGTGTTTCTGATGTTTCTGTTTTTGTTTTCTAGTATAAAACAAGCAAAGAAGGGAGTGTAATGGGAGTTACAGTGTCCCGGCTTTCAATGTTGTCTCACTGCCAAGCTCTGTCCCAGGCCTGCAATTATTCTGAAGGTCAGACCTCATCCCATGACTGCCCTCATTGTTACCTTCAGAGATGTTTGACTATGAGAACAATGCTCAGTGATTGGACCTCATTTAATGACTAAATTCAGAGTGAAACATCCCAAGACACATTCTTGGCTTGCTTCTGTTTTCTTCTTTCTCAAAAATATGCTGTAGTTTAAAGGAACTAAAATTCTGGGCAAACCAAAATGTAAAGCATAATTTCTAGAATGGAGCAATAGAGAACCTAATTAAAATCATGTTGTTATTAGCTGTGAAATGTCAGGTATCTCCATCTTCCCCTGCCTGTATAGTGGGCTACCAGCTATACATTTGGAGTCAAAGAAATTCAGCTACCAAAAGAATAAATTAAAACACAAAAACGTATTCTGTATTTTTGAACTTTAGGTAGGTTGATACATATTGCATAAACCACTATTTGCCTTATAATGTTCTTTGCCATGTTAATTTTTTTAGCATTTTATCTTCCTTTCATAAAATGAAACGAGTTAATAAATGCTCATGAGAGAACAATATTGTTGTCTGGTTAAAAAAATATATATATATAAAATGGAAGCAATCAAAATGCCCTCAAATAAGGATTGATTATGTTATAATACATTCAGGCCAGGCACCATGGCTCACACCTGTAATCCCAGCACTTTGGGAGGCTGAGGCATACAGATCACCTGAGGTCAGGAGTTTGAGACCAGCCTGGCCAACATGGTGAAACCCCATCTCTACAGAAAATAACAAAAATGAGCCAGGCGTGATGACATGTGCCTGTAGTCCCAGCTGCTTGGGAGGCTGAGGTAGGAGAATCATTTGCACCCCAGAGACAGAGATTGCAGGGAGCTGAGATCACGCCACTGCACTCTAGCCTGGGTGACAGAGTGAGACACTGTCTCAAAAAATAAAATAAAATAAAATAAAATAATAATACATTTATATAATGACTGGGGCATTGAAATTTTTATTTTTGAATATTAAAGATATGGAGAATTTTTTTCAATATATCATTAAGTAGGAACAAGTCAGAAACCAAGCTTTGTATACCAATTTGTTATGTTAGATATCTGTCTATATGTAAACATGCGTAGAAGTATATGTGTGTGTATAGATAGAATACTTAGATATATACTCACCAACTTTATTTTTTTTTGGAAATATCTTTTAGGAAGTTTAAAATATATTTGTCAAACTTCCCAAGTTTCTAAAATAATCGTGTTCTCTACATAATTAGGGAAAAAATACCTCTTGGAAGAAGTGCCTAAGTCACAAGAAGTTTCTAACTCCTTGTCTCTGCTGTATGAGGTAGAGGACTCACATTACTGTATGAGTAGTCCTCTACCCATTTTGGGGAGACCCTCAAAAGCTCCTGAGAACATTTAGCCATTTCTCTAAAAACATCAAATCAGGCTGGGCACTGTGGCTCACGCCTTTAATCTCAGCACATTGGGAGGCCAAGGCAAGGGG